TGGCATTGGTAATAAGCTACGGTGTATGATAATGGATCGAGCAGGCATTGACATGATCCTAATTTTATGATATACAATTGTACCATTCATTGATCTTGTTTTATGTATAGCTGTGCTTAGATGCCTCTGAGTCAAAACCTCACATCTAGTGACAAGGGGATCTCGCTCCTAGATATCTTAGGATCTAGCTTCTTAACTTGTTGAATGTACGAACATCGATGCTAACCTTAGGGAGCTTCCACCCTATATTCGTTCGTCGTTCCCAAATCGATCTCTGGTGGAGGATGGTGGCAAACATGTGACAACAATTGGTAAAAGTGTGACATGTGGCAAAGCAAAGCTTTTGGTCGACAAGAAGTGAGAGAAAATGTCTTAAATGGTTTAACCATGATCAAAATTTGGGGTTTCTATATAATAACTCTAGGGTTTTAACTGTGGTGAGATGTTATGCTTCTTTCTAAACCTTGACGAGAGTTTTCAACAACTCAACTTCCGGTGAAAATGTTTGACTAGAAAAAAGAATATTTTGACCCAATGCCAAACTTTTGGCTGTGCCACATCCACAACTCAGTTTGGCTTGTCTGGCAAGGTTCTCTCACTCACATGTGTGTATGTCTAATGCATAATTTGAAAGCACCCAAGTCTCTCTTCTAAGTCCTCAAAGAGCTAAAAAAATTTCCCGCTTAAGTTACAAGTCTTGCCTTTAGACAATGTGGGATAAAAGCAATCTCTCTTAGCCATACTTTACCTTAACATAGAAACTACCCAATCAAAACAAAAAATACCATTAGTTTTTGTGAAACGTTTTTTAAAATACTAACTACTTGACTCTAAGTTAGGCAAATTAGGAATGACAATGCATAAATAAAGGTGTCCAAGAGACTTGAACCTCCAACGATATTGTTATGCAAAATTCTTACCCGGACAACGAGTGGATGAATCTTGAGCCGTATCGTATCCATATATAGGTATCCCTCCTGTATACTACATTTTTTGTCTCAGGCAACTATGCTCTCTTAGAAAGCTCACGCATTGATAACCTTGCGCTCAATGTCCCTGTATTCATGAGTGCTCTAGATAATGCACAATTCCCAAAGGAAGTGGCCTCACTTCCATAATCGTATGTGTGAATCCATGGTACCCTGTAACTCAACATCTCTACTTGTGCATTTCATCATCTAGGTGTATTGACTCAATAGGAGTGTAGCTCATCCTTCCATAGGTCCTAGATCACTACATAACACATGCAGGAATGGGTAGAGTCCTTTGATTTCCATTAGAAGAATTGTGGTGCTTCAAGCTTGTTGCATTATTGGCTTGTTGTTCCCTTTGACCCTGGGATTAGGGATCTCATGTTTTACTAAGTAGAGTTCCCATCACGTTATGAGTTGTCTTCAATGAGCTTTAATCTTATTCCTCTAGTTGTCTTGCATATTTGGTCCGTTGCAAGGCCTTCGGTTAACAAATTCGGCAAGTTCTAATTAGACTTATATTGTCAATTATAATTACTCCATCCTTGAGTAACTTTCACAATTGATTATGCCTGAAACAAATATTCCTTGACTTTCCATTGTAGATCTTACTCCTCTCTGTAGACAACTTCACAAGCACAGTAAATTCCCTTGAACAGGTTGTACGTATTCCATCAAGTTTCTCGATCATTGCTTCTCTACTAGCAGCCTCCATGGGAATTAACTTTGACTCCATTTTGGTTCTAGAGAAATGCTTTTGGTTTTGGATCCTCATGCACTACAAATCCTGCATAGGCAAAGATCCAACCACGTGTAGACCTAGATTAAACATAAACCATTGTCCAATTTACATCTTCATGCCCTTCCAGGATAGCTGGTTCACTCATGAAATGTAGGCCAAAGTCTATAGTCCCTTTGAGATACTGCAGGACCCTATACATAACATGGTCAATGCTCTCGACTCGGATTTGTCTACTTGGCTCACCCACTATAAAGGTGATATCAGGTTGATTATAGTACACTCCATACATTATTCATCCAATGCTTCTAACAAAGCCTAAATGGGAGACGTAACTACTGTCGTTCTTTCTCAATTGAGTACTAGAATTGTTGCCGACAGTCTAAATGATTGAATCTTTGTAAACTCTCTATATAGTGAGATTGGGTTAATATGTAACCCTTTGGTTTTCTCACTATCTACATTCCTAGAAAGTCACATCAGCTTTGATCAAATGGTTCATATTGAATTTAGAAGAGAATAAGTTCTTGGTGTCTTTGATGCATGCAATGTTGCTACCTAGCAAAAGCATATCATCTACATACAGGCATACAATAACTACAACACCACTTAAAACTTCAGCATTTACACATCTATTAGTGGGATTACCCCATCAAACTTACCATGGCATAATTTTGATGCTTGTTTTAAACAAAACGTGGATTTCACATGTTTACAAACCAATGTGGTTTTAGTGCAAATCCTTTAGGTTAACTCGAAATATATTTCTTTGTCTGGTTCCCCATTTGGAATTGTTGTTTTAACATGCATCAAGTAAATTTCTAGACAATATATGGAGGACAGAGCAAATGAGTACCTGGATGGTAGCTATTGTACCCAGTGGTTTAAAAAATGGATCGGTGCTCTGAATCGGGCACCCCAAAAACCCATCCGGATCGGTGAATCAGCGGTTCGGATCGGGAATCGGTCGCATTCAACAATAAAAAAATCCAAAAAAATTATTAAAAATCATTATAAATGTTGTTTTTTAGGAATCCAATAAGAAATGGGGGTACTGCATTATTAACTTTCATTTTTTTTCGTCAATATGCGACTATTGAGATGTTCTTTCCCTGTATGAACTTATGTTAACCATTAAATTTACATCACAAAAGAAAAATCATATAATTATCATGGATGAAGTATATAATCATACAAGACTACAATAAATAATGGATTAAATCGATAGAAAAATGGCCACCAAAATCTCGAATTGGCCACAAATCCTAATCCGCTAAAAAAAAACCCAAATTATTACAACCTAACTAACTATAATCTAAACTTATTACAACCTAACTAACTATAGTATTATATACTGAAATTGAAATTGTTGATTTATATTTTATAACTATTTTACTATACAAATAATAACAAATCCAATATCATCTAATTTAAAATATATTATTGACAACTCTAAGAAAAAATAGTACATTACATAATTTATAATGCAAATAAAATTAATAAATAAAATATAAGATTTGGTTATCAATGTAGAAATTATTAGAATGCGTACCAATTTTCGAAATAACATATTAATTTTTCAAAAATCTAATATTTTAGGTTTCTAGAATAAATTTAGTGGAAGAGATTGCTAGTTGAGAGAGAGAGATTTCAAATGGCTTTATTGTATGAACTCTATCTTTAAATTAATATTCCTAAATTTATGTTAAAGATCACCATGTTGTAAAAATAAAAAATATAATTAGACGAACAATAGGTATTCATAGATGAGAGAGGTAAAAAGAGCTAACATGCTCCAAGCGTATATTGTATTACCTTTCCATATCTAATTTAAGCTTACAATAATCGCAACTCAAATGCATTTATTTTTTTTGACAAGAAAAATGAGAAGATGGTGCTGCCCAGGTTCGAACCAAGGACCTTCAGTGTGTAAGAAGTTGTGATAACCAACTACACCACATACCCACTTGTTGTATTATTCACGTGGATTGAATAAAAGCCTATATTGTATTGCCTTTTAATTACAATAAGTACCATGCTCAAATCCCACATCGAAAAAATGAAAGAAGTTAGACGTGAATAAAACCTTCCTCAGTACCACACAATTGCGTGCTTGAAAAGCATGAGGCAATGTGCCCAAGGACACGTGCTGCTAGGGGCCCATGGCTAATGGAGACACATGTGGCCATGTTATTGTCCTCATTTTTAACAGAAATGACAAAAATGCCCTCGACATGGCCGGATCCCGTTTTATAGTTGGATCCGAAATAGCCCAGCCGATACCCGAACCGGATCATCCGGTTCCAGATCCGATCGGCATTTTCTGAACGCTGATTGTACCTACTAGTGCATATGTATCAAAGGAGTCAATACCTTCAACCGCAGCAACTCGTCTAGCCTTGAATTTCTTAATGCTACCATTCTCCCTAAGTTCGAAAACCCATTTGTAAACTAAAGGCCTAGAACTAGGAGGTAAATCTATGAGGTATGAGCTTTCAAGTTCGATATCAGATCCCCTTCATTGTTGTCTGCTACCCTCCCAATTCTTAGAAGCTTCTAGGTTCTCCTATAAGATACATCTGAAAGTCGAGTCTAAAGTCAGTTGGTTTTTGGGCTCTCTTGCATCTCAAGTTTGTCTATTTCTTCATGACTATCATCTGCATTGTGCCCTTGTTCATGCATATCACCATATTCTTATGTTCACCAATGAATACATTTTCAAAAAAATATACACCCCTATACTCTAAAATCACATTTGAGGCTAGGTCCAGAATTCACATCTTATAAGATTACCTTTGGGGCTACTTTTTGGCTCTTTTGTTTGGTGTGGCTGGTAAACATGAAAGAAAAGAAAGCACACCTATGTGACCTCCATAATTGTCATGTTGGGTTTGGTCAAGAGCCACCTGATATTTCCATTTGTTTATCGTCTTTGCTTTTGTCTTGTATCCCAAGAAAGGCATTGCAATTCTTCGAAGGCATCTGTGCTTCTTTGCATTTGAAATTTTTTTTATAATGCTAGCATCATTCTAGGGACTCATTGGCTACAAATTTGTTGATTATGTTAAGTTTTATGTTTCTGGATCCTTCAGATGTCTTGTACATGTTGTGGTTTGCATTGTAAGAAGCTTTACCATGCGTTAATAAGTTTGGTTGTTTCAAATAAAACAATAGACTCTGATGTTTCCCGGTTATTGATCCTTATTCCTTGATGCATATTTTCTGCTTCCAGTTATTGCTTCTTACTCATTGATGTGTATTTCTATCTAATTTCATGATGTGTCCTTCAGGTTTCATATTGGTATAAGAGCCCTGCTATAGGTGATATAATAACCTTTACTGCACCTAGGAGTTTACAGGTTTGAGTGAAGATTGTAGTGTTGGAAATTTATTTTTCCGTCCCTTAATTTTTTTCTTTCATGATTTTGTTTTTCCATGACATTGAAAAATCAGGAGATGGGATTTAAAGAAGATATTTTCATCAAGAGAATAGTTGCAAAGGCCGGAGACTGGGTAGAGGTATCCATCATGCAACAGAATTTCTGTTGAACTTTCCTAATTCCTTTTCTTCTTTCCATTTCATTATGTAAATCAGATAGTTCAATGACAGATTTGTAGATTGTTTTGTCCATCTTGGTTATAGACAATGCTGCAATAACTTATAGGCATATCAATATTAGTAAAACTGTGGTTTCCCCCTACATACTTCCCATTTAGTAATTTTTGAGCAACATCAGCCATATTGAATGGCTTATCCAACATCAACCCCATTAGTAACTGATTTAAGGTATGTGATTTTTTCCTCTGTATTATGGTATGAGTAGTTTTTGTAAATACCGGACTCAGTGGGTCGAACTGGTAAATCAATGGTTCCGAGCCAGCTCAGTACCCGCCCAAGCCAGATTGCCAGTTCTCTAGGGTTTTCTTCTCATGAAAATAAAAGAAAAAGGAAAAATGCGGCTGCAGGGAGGGGGTTCTTGGAGCCGGACCAGTACCCCACCGTTTCTGAGCCGATTTAGATCACTGGGTATGAGTATGATGTAATCACAACATGACACCTAAACACTAATAGGTCCTAACCTACTGATGTAATATTCTATTGACACTAATACTGACACCAGACATTTTTGGGGTACTTGTATATAGAAGTGATGTAATATGAATAAAAATAATCAATTACTTAAAGTAAATTATGAATTATGTTATGACCTCAAAGCTTGTTATATTGGTATTCTACCGTGGAATATAAAAATATTGCATACCAAAAAATATACTTTATAGTATATATTCAGAACATGTAATATTTCTTATTAAATAAATGTGTTATTGTCAACACTTCCCAAAAAGAAGAAAATGAATGTGTTAAAAGAATCAATGCGTCAGAGCACTTTTATATCTATCTGGGCATCTAATGTTACAGGGGGTCCATGTACATAGAAAATGAAATTGGTCCACTTTGGCACCCAAGCTCCTTGTTCTCATGAACACTACTTAAGTCAGAGTTGCAGGCAAATTTTTATTTATTTTTGAAGAGGGAAATTTAACATTTTACCCATTTCTTTTTATTTAGTTTCAAAAATCCCATCCAACTACAACTAGGTGGGTAAAAGGTTAAATAGTCATGAGTTGAAATATTTGAAAATGGGTAAAAGGTTAAATAGTGGGTAAACTAGGTGTATTTTCATTAATCTCCCTTTGGGGTATGAATGAGTAACAGAAGTCGATAGATGTAAATAAATAGATCTCCCCATAATAAAGGCATCTTGGCTTCATCAGCATCATCATCATCATCATAGGCATTCCCCATCTGTTTAGGATCGGCTATACGAATACCAGTTTGCCATTCTGCTCTATCAAGGACCATACCCTCAGTGATGCGATAAGTCGTCATATCTTTTCCATCTTGGCTTGTGTAGATTAATTTATCTAGACTGCTTTTTTAAAGATAAGCCTGATTTTACTAACAATTCTGTAAGCTAGTTTACGAAATGCTACTGAGATTGAGGACTTCTAGACTAGCTACTTGAACATATATATGTAGAACTGATTGCCTCTGGAGTCATTCCTTTTCATTAAAACTCAGACATTCCAAGAAGCAAATCCTGATTTGTAGCAAGTAAAATGCAGTGGAATAACCATCTATGCCTGAAGACTTTGCTTAGATCTGTTCTATCCGATTAGGGTGTCTTGATACTTTCTTTCATAATAATCTTTTGTCTCTGAATATAGACTTGATATTTCTGTACTGTTTCATTTTGGCCTCACGTTGTTACATATGCAAACTGCTCAAAACCTTATATAGCCAACATTTCAAACACCATCCTCTTCACATGACATAATATCCAGTTTTACAAGTTATTGACATTTTTTTTTTTTTTTCCATTTTCCGTGAGATGCCCTATCCCAGTTTTTCTTTCCGTTACGTGGCTTCAAAATGGTGTGATCCTTGTATGCCCTTCAATCTAGCAGATTCATGCAGTTGGGTGCATCTGTTAACTCCATTGACAAATTTTGTACCTTCCTGATATTTTATAATTTCTCATTTCCAAGTTGTTGTTAGCTTTGTTGTGATTTAAGATAACAACTATAAGATGATTTCATGATAAGCTATTCCTTGGATTCACTCTATGATGTCTCTATGAACTGAGAACTTTGGTTTCTTTATGTATCTTGTCGCCTCCTCAAAATCACCAAGCTCCAATCAGTTTATTTTCTCATGTGGTATACAATGATGCTTACTGATGAGAGAAAAGTAGTATCTGATTGTACTGGTTATCCTCATAATCATCTTCAAGATTTTCTGTTCCATTATTAAATTTTGCTGCAGGTGAATAATGGGGTGCTTTACATCAACGGTGCCGCCCAGTCTGAGGATTTCATTGCAGAGCCTTTGGCATACAAGATGCATGCAACAGTGTGTTCCTTGGAACCATCTTTCCTTGATCATTGTCTCCCTCTTGTTGGTTTTCGAAATTTCTTTTACCCCGCGGACAAGAGCACGTGCTCGAACAACATTATGGAGTAGATGAGGGTTTCCAACAGTCTTTGAAGTGGACGCAGAGAGAGAGAGAGAGAGAGAGAGAGAGAGAGAGAGAGAGAGAGAGAGAGAGAG